TAAATAAAAATTTCTTGTGTTCATATGTGCACAAATTTTTTTTTGCAGATCATAAGATCGACGAATTTCCAACACTGGGTAGTAAACGGCTTAGCCGGCTAAGGCTAACATCACTAAGATAAACAACTTATAGGAATGTCAATTTGGATATTTTTTATTTTTAGAAAATATCAGGGGCGGTAGTAGATGTTATTAGAGAACTAAAATAAGAGAAAACCACTGTTTGCAATGATATTACTATAAATTACTAAAATACACGAATAATTTAATTAAAGGTTTTGAGTGAAACTAATCTGGTAAATGTGAAACCAATTTAGACTGCTAGAACTAGTTATTTTTAGTTATTAACTTTGTTTTGCATTGATAGATGACTTATTTTAATTTTAGAAATAGAAAAATAGTCAAAGAAGTGAATGAAAATGGAAAGAGTAGTAGACACTTGGTTACATCGGATGAAAAATAATGAAAGGTCAAGATACCAGACAAAAAATTTCAACACTTCTTAATGAACATATTATACAAATTAAATAAATTAAATCAACATTATATAAATTTAATTATGGAGAAGCAGCATGTCCATCTTTTCACCTTATGAAATCATGAAGGGGATTGTAGGAAGGGAATAGTCTGTAAAAGAAAAGTAGAAATCCTCAACTTAAAATATGATTGATTATCAATTAGGGCAGAAATAAAAAAATCCCTTGTTTCAATAAAATATACCAAATCATACTACCATTAGGCAATCTATCATTTGCCACTTACCACTTAAATCCAACTTAAGGTTGTGAATTATTAATTGGATTTGTAACTATTGGTAAAGCAATATTTTTGTAATTAATGAATGGAAAGAATTAGAGGAGACGTTTGATGAACCAAGAATTTAAAAATTTTGTGATATTTTTGCAGACCATTTAATTTTTAAAATAGATTTGATATCCAAATACTGAAAACATTTTTCACCGTCACAACATTGAGTTCTATTTAATTCTGCTGGATTAGATCTTTTTACCACATCAGCAACATGGTCCGTAGTTTGTTTTTCTGCAATGTTTTCTAATTAAGCCAAAACTACTGTCACATTTGAGGATATTATTTGATCAAAAATTGTTTGATTTGTCTCAAAATAATTATCTACAGTCTTGAGGTAAAAAATTTCAAAGGTTATACATACAATAAGAACAAAGTTATCAATCAACTTTCTTCACTATTTTAAGAAACCATTATTTTATGACATATTAAGTTGCTAAGTTAGAAAGTCTTATCTATCACCTGCATCAAATTTTGTTTCATCAGGTATAGAAGGATGCAAGATAATCCAAATTGCTTTTTCCAAGCTCTAAATCTCCTTCATTATCCCAATGGTTATGTAACTAACTAATGAAAGGGTCAGCCGTTGATTGCTGACTTGAGGAGATTGATTTCATTAAGTTAAAATGACTCTCATTTATAATTTCCTTCTCTTCTTTTGAGTGGTGGTTTGTCAAAAATGTCATTTTTAGGTATTTCCATTCTCAATGCACCCATATTAACGAGTGTACTTAATTCTTGTAGCAAAACCTGATGTATCAATTTCCACAATTTAAGTTACAATTGCCAATTATTTCCATCTTCCAAAACCACAATTGTGTGGAAAAGGTTGTTAGGTCCAACAGTTAAGAGTTGCATCTCTGCCTGATGATCAACTTTGTTTGCTGAATGTTTTTTTTTGTCCTAATCAGCACAATAACATTAGCTTGAGTGTTTGATGAAGATGATGGCATCAACACACAAAGTCAGATTTTGCAGTTAATTTAATGTGAGTACAAGGAAACCCTGTTCAAATTGTGTGGATTTATATATATCTTTAAGGGTAAGTTTTCTTGGTAGTGGAAGGTATTTTAGCAAATGGTCTTTGACATAATTCATCCGTTGATCTTCATGGAAGTTGTCAATCTAATCATCTCTGTCAGAAAACTCTTCCTGTTCAAAAGGTAGATTACGACTCTTTTTAATTTTTTTGATAATTGAAAGAGAAACTGGAGAAGCTGAAACTGAAATTGTTTGTTCTTCTTTAATCATTGAATGGAACTCGATATTACAAGTTTTATTTGAACTACAAGCCCAAATGTGTATTAAATCTTCTTGATGTATGGTTTTGGCTTCTCTTGTGCTGCGCTCCGGGTATTGGAAGTTCGTTTATTAGTAATTTGCCCCTGTCATATACTGAATCAAAAACTCTGCTGCTTTATAAATTTCTTGTTATTTGAATATGTTGTGCCAAGTGTTTTCTCTAAAGTTCCAAACGAATCGAGCTCGAGTCAAGAGATAATAGGCTAGAGTTTGATGATGTTACCTAAACTTTTTAGGTAACGAATGAAACAATTTAAGAGCTTATTTTATTGAATTCAGCGAATTCAAGGCCTACTCAACTTATTCGAAATAACGAATAATTCAATGAGGATTTGTATTACGAATAGGAACTTTAGCTCAATTCAATAATAACAAAGAATTTTAATATCTGAATCAAATTATAATTAAATTCGCGTTACAACAAATTTTTAAAACATAAAATTCGTTGAAACGTTAGTAATTTGGTATAACGAATTTTAAATGCAATTATTTTTTAAAGGCACAAATATGGTTAAAACATGGAATCCTCATTTAAATGTTCTAAAATTCATGTACTATTATATACAAACATTAATATAAACAACATTGCATTAATTAAATTTTTTCTTTTCAAAAAAAAAAAGGATCTATGTTAACGAACAATCAGAAAGAATTGTTACGCGACCATTATTAATTCTTTCTTGTATATTATTATTTGATACTAATAAAATAAAAAATTTATTTTATATTATTTTATTCGAAAGTAGAATTTTTAAAAAAACAACAAATAAACAAAAAGATATATAGCTTTGTGGATTTATTACCCATAATCCCGGGCCGATTTTAAAGGAAATTATAGTAATGGTAATGTTGATATATGTGGGATACTACATTATAATATTTTTGCGTTGATGAGACATAAAAGTTGTTATTATTATTGTGTGATGAAAACTTTGTCCCGATCTACAATATACAAATTAACGCTAAATTACTTAAGAAAGTAGTTTTTTTAAATTTGTATCAAGTATGGAATTTGATTCTTAGATTCTTTTTTTTTTCCAAAGATTTTTTTGGCTAATTATTGTTTTTGTTACCAGTAAAAAAAAAGCTTTTCTAACAATAATGAAATTATTATTGTTCTATCCACACTATTCACTTTTGGTTACCTTGATTTGTTTTACAAAAAACAACATAATGATTAATTACTTTTTATATTTATAATTTTGCCAAATAAAGTTTCATTATTAAATTAAAAAAAAATATTACAACTAAAACAAATAAAAATTCCCAGTAAATTTTTAATTATGATTAATTTAGTTAGTCACAAAACAAGTATTTTCCATTCATCCATTCATTCACTAGTTTCATTTTTTTTTTAGACTTGAGGATGTTGTGCATATGTATACATATATGCATGTATGCATGTTATTTAAACAAGATTAAAACTTGTTATAAAGCTTGACGATAAATGATTGATTTTATTTAAAATCTGTAATAATTAGTGTTGAATTTTTTATTTTTACAATAAAAATTGTGGTCGAATTTTAGATTATGTGATTGATTATGCACACGATTAACGTGTTATGCATAATAATAACATATATCCTATATAACTATAATGATTATCATTTTATCATTAATTAATATTATTAATTATCATTATTACTAATTGATAACTATTCTCACACATAGCAACTAAACTAGGTAATTTGTATAGACGGAGATTCACTATTTGTTAAACATAATATCCAAGCCGACAAATTGTAAATTATATCCTTGATATCTGGTCGTTTATTTGAATCTCGACTGATGCATCTTTGAATTAGTGCATGATAATAATTTGGCAATGTTAGACCAGAAGGAATGACAGGTTTTATTCCATTGAACACGAAAAACTCCAATAAAAGCCTATTGTCTATTGATGCATACGGCAATTGGCTGGTGGCCACGTGATACATTATCATCCCAAAACTATAAATGTCAACTTTTTTGCTGAAAGGTTTAGATCTGTCCATTAATAGTTCTGGTGCGGTGAAATACATCAGTCCTTCAGGATGCTTTTCAAATTTGTCGATATGTTTACAATATTTTAAATCGTTCAAGTATGCCTTTGGCGCGTTTGATGACGTAGATGATGAATCTAACGATGATGAAATTAATACCGTGTCACTGTTTAGACTTCCATGTATTAAACCTTCTTTATGTAATGAATTCAACGCAGATGCTATATCAAGTAATATTTCCAATTTATTTTTCCAGCTCGTAAAGCTCCAATTTTGATTCATATACTGTGTTAAGCTACCGCCATTACAATACTGCATCACAATTCCATATTTGTTAAGTTCAGGAAATAACACAACCCCATAATATTTAAACATATTATAGAGTGCATCACTGTCATCCATTATAGGCGTGAGAGAATGTGTGAAAGAAAGGGGGCGAGAGAGATTGGATAGATGAATAAAAATTGCAGAAATATTTAATCTACAGTATATGTAAAGATGTAAATTTATTGGATGGTTTATCAATTAATAAACTAATTACCTTTTCCCGCTGATAGCATCCATTATAAAATATATTCTTTTAACCTTTATTTTGGAGATGAGAAAAAAAGGTCACATTAATATTTCATCAATATACTAATATTTCGTCAATCAAATCATAAAAAGGATAATAATTACCGCATCAATAAAATGTTTAACATCATTAAAAATTTTAACAGCGACGCAAGAAAATCCAAAATCATCATTATAATAATAATTTTCATAATCAAATCTGGTAAGCCTCTTCCCTCCATTCAGCCACAATATTGCTTTATACGATATTCCAAATTCACATGTACCAATATAATCCAAAATATAAAGTTGATCACGTGGAAACCATTCCAAAAAATTTGTTTTGACATTTCTACCATATATCATCGCCTTCATTTGTGATAATCTTATAGAAATATCTATCTCCAAAAAAGGTGACACTGAGGTTGTTGTTGATGTTGTTGATGTCGATATTGTTTCTGGTGTAGTTTCCCGATCATTATCGCCATTATCTTGATGTTCTCGATGTTCTTGATGGTGTGGATATTCTTGATTCTCTTGATTTTCCTGATATACTTGATATCTTTGAACTTGAGAATATTCTTGATGTTGGGAATATTCATTATGTTCTTGAGATTGTAGATATTCCTGATGTTCTTGATGTTGTGAAGATCCTTGAGATCGTGAGTATTCTTGATGCTCTTGAAATTCTAGATATTTCTGATTTTCTTGATGCTCGTTATGTTGTGAAGATTCTTGGATTTTCTGATGTTCTTGACATTCTTGACACTGTTGATTGCTATTAACAAATTGATCATTATCATATGTTATAAAATTATAATCAATAATTGATGAGAATTGCATTGTTATGCTGTATGTTGTGTATAACGACATTTTTCTCTCCTCCTTCTTGATTTTATTGTAGATTATTGGAATTATTCTATCGTTGGAGTTATTCTCGTGAGGAAAATAAATGGTTGAAAAGAGCATGGGAAAAAACTTCTTTTTATTTATTTAAAAAAATTTTTTACTAATCAATCAATATTATAAATCATTATTCAACGTTAACAATTTAATTAAATCTTGTTTCGTTTGTTTATACATTACCACATTTTTTTTTAACTATTTTTTGACGCGCATGATATTTACCTAACTAAACAAGTTAGAGAAAAATATTTTCTTTCTTCTTGTGAATGACGTAGACTATAAACAAACAGAAAACAAACAAATAAATTTAATTGAAAATGATGACGTGAAAATTTATTATTCATATCAAGATGTTTTAAAATAAAAAATGCAAGGTGAAAATCTTTGATAATCACAAGCCCCTCTTATTGTTGTTTACTCATCCCGTTCGAAATAATATTAGTAATTTTTTATTTATTAATATTACATAAAATATTTAATTAATTTGAAAAGTATCTTGTTTCCAACTATTTACCGTGTTTTCCAAAACTAATTAAATGGCGTTATCTTACTATAATTAAAATTACTTATTGATTATTGATTTTATACCCACAACTAATTATTTTTTAGTAATTTATCATGTTTTATATGATCACGCGTAGATTAATTGACACTTTTGTGTAATATTGCGCGAAACATAACAAGAAGGATCATAATATTTTTTAATCTCAAAAATTTCTTGTATCAATCAATTATATATTAATCAAATTTTGCTTGATAATGATTAACTCAAGTCTGTTTCTATTCTACACCAGAATTTCCATCTTGCCAAAATTACTGCAATTAATAGCAGACTTTCTTTGAAACATTCAAAAATTGATAACCACAACAATCAAGTGATGGTCATTTCTTCCGCTACTACTACCACTAATATTTATATACAGATATTTGGCCAGAATCAACGAATCGATTTTCAAAACTATCATTATTAGAACCACTAATGTTGGTGCTAATCACAATAACAGCAAAAAAAAAAGTCAAAGTTACTATAGACTAAACCTAAACCAAAAAGGGCATGTATGTATTCATAAGTATAAGATATTAGGTGCGCAACATCATGAGATCCTGGATGTCATTGAAATTGTCATCACATGCCCAATATTAAATAATAATGTGTGCATGCAAACACAAATTAATACAAAGGATTGAGAACACTCATTTCATTCTTCTTTATATGAAACACAAGACAAGCAAGTGAAATAAAAGCAATTGGGTTCACTAATATCAGATTCACTAGATAAGATTATATGGGGCATGCTGCAACAAAACCAGACAAAGTGAACATTTGTATTACCAAGAATTTCAGGGATCAATAGTGTTTGTTTAAACATCACAATTGTTTACCACTAAATAAAAATAGTTAATATGAACCTCATTTATATCAGATCTACTATGGAACCCAAGAATTATAGCACAATTAAAAAAAGGAACAAAGTGAAAAAATTACTCCTTATATTTTCAAAATAAATGATACTCAAAAACAAATAAAAACACGGGACATGAAGAGGACGGGGGACGGGCAGGTGTGGCTTGAACCCATCTCCCGTCCTTTTCCAGCATCCCTCAAACAATAAAAACTTATCTAAGGAAAGAAAAGATTACCTATATATGAAAAAGTAAGAAAAACCATAACCAGTGATGAAGAATTTAGAAAGAAAAGAAAATTGGAAGGGAAATAATTTACTGCCTAACTTAATATAGGTGAACATGTATTTGCTATCTTTTAAAGATTAAGGATATTAAAAAAAGATTGGTAAAAAAGAATTAGTGTGGATTGGTTTGACTTGCTTAAGTTTTACTTCAATTTTTTGTTGTTCTTTTTTAAGTGAATTTTCTCACTTATCTTTTTTGTAAACTATAGTAACTTACTCTTTTTCCTTGGTAATATTGGCAAAAGCTTATTAGCTAATATAATTCTTGTTTCAATTGCTGAATTTCTTGGGCTTGTTTGTTCATATCTTGTTGATTGGCTTGCAATTCATTTTCCTTACCTTGTAAGGTCAAGAGAATGCCTTGTATTTCCAGATTCTTGGCTGTCTCTAACTTCTCTAAGCTTTCAATTGTCTTTTACTTCATTCTTCAGCTACTTTCAAGGCATTTAGGTGACATTCAACTTTTTCTTCTTCCTCAACACTAGTTTTCAAATAATCAGCCAATAATCCTTTCTTTTCTTATTCTTTTTCTAATCCTTTGTTCTTTTCTGCTTCTTTTCAAAGCTTTCTAAAGTAAAGTTATAGTTTAGATTTGCCTGTTCAGCTTCTCTTTTTAATACTCTAATTTCTTTTGTTGAATTTCTTTCAGTAAAGCAATTTCTTTACTTTCATCATTTTCTTTCTAGTTCTTTTTGTTTATTTAAACTATTTCCAATGTAAAGAAGGAGAACTCTTTCTGTTCTGCCTAACTTAGAAGTACTTTCTTTTAAATCTTCCTTAGTCTTCTAATCTTTCTAAATTATTCAATTTATTTTCTAATTATTCTTGTTAAATATTGTCTATTACTTCTTTTATTTTTTTACTTTTATTATTGTATTTACTACCATAATATATAACTTTAGTAAAAATTTTATATTGATTTTGGACAAGTAATATCTTCAAATTTGTCCCTTACAATTGGGCAAATACTATTATAAAGATATTCTTGCCTTTTGTAGTCCGAAGGAAGTGGTGTTAACACTAAAATAGATAAAGATTTAATTTCTTCAAAAATATCTGCTTTTTTAGTTTTCAATAAATTGAATTAGTAAAAGGTCCATTAGCAACTTCTTGAACTTTTACTGTACCAAAGATTAGATGCCTCAAAAAGAAAATGTTGGTAATTTTGTATGCTTGATAATTTCTTAAAATAAATTCCAAAAATAGCTTTAACATCTAAATATTGAAAACCATTTCCACCTTCATAACATTGAGCTTTATTCATTCCTGCTGGATTTGCTGGATTAGACTTATTTACTACTTCAACCACATTATCCAGACAAACTACTCTTGTTCTTCTATAGAGTTTTTTAATAATACCAAAATCATCATCACTTTTGAATTTGGTATGTCCTGGAATCATGAAATTCAATTCAATACTTTCATAATAACCACAAATTACCAAATATAAAATAAAATCAAATAGTTACATTATTTTTAAAGGGTCATCCTATATACAGAAAGGTTCTTTTTATGAAATATACAGAACCTATCTGACAAATAAGAATTTATTTTTGGAGTTGGTAAGCATTCCATAATTCCTACTACCCAAACCTCGCAAGTTTAATCGTCACATACAAATAACTGTCACAAGGATGTTACAAAAATTTGGTAGGGTACTGTATATTTCAAAAAAAGAACCTTTGTGTATATAAGATATTCCATTTTTTTATTTTGTCTCCCAGCATTATCACAAGTAATCTTTAAATGCTTTTTACCTTTATTCAATTTTTCAGTTCCATCAAAAATCATGCTAAGAATGCCATTGGGTCCTTTTCCTATGATTTCATCTTCATCAAGAACAAGTATATAGACATTTAGTACTGCACTCTTTTGCATTTCCTGTACTGTATGGTCTACAAAAATAGAAATTTTTTAAAAAAGTCATATACCAACATACAGTACACAGCACCCCCACCAATCAAATGGATTCTGTACTTGTAACATTTAATACAGAAATGCCGATTTGCAGATCATACAATACAGGAATGCAAAAGTGTACAATACTGAATGTCTACTGACTGATCAAGAACATAATTAATAAGTTCCCTTACTGCTTTACTGTAAATGTTCAAATAATTATCACAATTATTTAAAAACGTTTAGATATTTATTTAGCAATGTTAATGAAGTGATAATTTTATTGTTGTAAATTATATAAAAGTTATCTTTATTTGTTTGAATTTTACTTCTTTAAATAATAAAAATACAATTCTTAAAATATAAATATAAATCATAAAAAAATAAATAAATCTATAATCTATATATTGTATGGAAGCCTATAGGCTTCCTGGAAAGTATGATCATAATTTAAAGATAACTTTGATTATAAATAATATAAATATAATAATAATATGATTATATTCTCCACAATATAACATGACAATATAATATCCACATTCTTTAATAAAAATAATAATGATACAATAATAATATATGTATAATTCTTTAACAAAAAATCCCGATTGCCAAGTAACTTTAATTAAACGATAAAAAAAATGAATTCCTCTGATTACCAAATATGGTAATAAAATTAATTGCCATTTGTGTGACATATTATTTCGAGGATTGTTACATTCACCTTGAATACCAAATAAATGAACTTTACATGGATTTACCTGTTGATCAGGATGTGGTACATGAACATTTTGGGCTCAATCATAACTATAATGAGCAGTGGCATCAATACTGCAATACTGTGTTTTACCCTTTGAATAATTTTGATTAACTAATTTTCTTTGTTCTTCTGCTAATTTAGTGTTTTTATTATAATAATTTCTTTTAATTTAGCCTTGGATAGATGTTCTTTAAATATTTTAAGTGATCCTTTAGCTTCTTCCTCTTGGTGAGCACTGTAATGTAAACCATCTGTAAAATGTTGACAAATATCATACAAATCAGTCCTGAGACTCATAATTTGAATCTCTGGTGTCGATTGATAATTTTCTGAATGCATCATACTTTAAGGATTTCAATTTGCTATATTTCTTCTAGACCAGCTAGAAAATCTCTATGCACTAATTTATTTCAGCTGGTAAGAATACAATTGACTGAGTTATTCTATTGATATATCTTCCTGGACTTGGTAATCATGGACTTCTGCATAATTTTCTAGAAAATTCTTTACTACTTCTGCAACATCTATGTCAATCATCATCTTAGTTTTCCATGAAGGCATCCTTTTAATATTACCATGAATTTTTGACAGAAGACCTGTTTATTAGATGATTTCTAATA